CTTCAGTTCCCTGTGTTAATACAGTGTATTTTCATGTGTGAAAAATTGAAAAATAAAATATTTTTTCCACACACATGCTCATTTTAATCTACAATACTGATTCTATGTGTTGTACACAGTCATACACAGTCATTTGTAGAATCCAACCGCCAACAACTCCAAAAACTGTTAAGTAATTCTGGACAATTATTTCTGGAAAAACTGAGTACTGCAAAGTGTACTATTATATCTGGACATAGGTAGTACAAGGTTAGGGATATTTGCATCATACCAAAACAAATATAACTCTTGTCTCTGCTCCATCAATTTCTCCTCCTAATACAACAGCAGGATTTTTGTAGATTATTTTCTGACACAAAATTAATTTTGTCATCCAAACCACACAAAAAAGAAGAATGTTTCTTTGCTGTTGCCTTGGGGATAAGTTTTGGTGTAGCAAGTTCTCTTTGCTCTTGGCTTGAATCAACACAAGAAGGATTCATCAGAATCCTATTTGGTCAGCTGCATGCCCCTCTGCACTGTGGCAATTCCTTCCTTCTAAATGTAAACAGACAATCTGACAATGACTTTTCCTTCTCTGATACCAACCGTCTCATAGACAGCAGAATTATGATGATCAAGGACACATCCTTCTGGGCGTCAACAATCTAGCTATCTCCTGTGTCCAGTTGATAGCATTCAAGTGACCCAGCACCCATGCTGCATCTGTGGTCTAATGCAGTTCAAGTACTGAGTGCCTTTGTATTGTTTTTCACATTTGGTTGAAATATTATGGCAAGCATTTTTACAAGCTGTGGTTGAGAGTTGCCAGCCTGAACTCCCAATGCTGGGTTCTTTGTGTTCAAGAAATTTTGGACTTTACAAAGCATAAATGACTGTGGACTAACTCAAACCACTGAGATTTTTTGTGGTTACCACTGCAGCATTGCCATATTGTGCATACTAGTCTGTAGTATTTTCCTCTTGTTTTAAAATGAAAAATTCTCTTCAATAATAATTTTGGTTGTTGACAAACTGTATTCAGTCTTTATAGTAGTCATACTACTATTTTGCATTTATTATGTACCATTGTTACTAGTTGCACTGCAATTCTACCAGAAAATGTGGTTCTTGTAGAAGATGATCCAAACAACAAGAACAATTGTTTCAGCACCACTATGGACCACAAAAATAATAGAGGCTACCATCATTAGAACAGTTGACCTACAACAAAGAAGAACCTGAAAAAGAAAGTTATCTTAGCAGCTTCAAATCTTTTATTCTTTCAAAAAGAGACGTTGAAGTTTTGAATACTAATATGCTTGATGTGGTGGAAGAGCAAATGAAGGGTTTTGTGAAAAAGTACTGGCACAAAATGGTGAAGTTCCCTGTCAATAACAGAGTTACTGCTCACATCATGAAGAAGGCAGTGGATATGGAGAGGACCAATGATCCAAAACATGTCAGCACCCAAGCAGCTTTTTATGAATTTTTTCAAGAAGAAGGTACTAGCCACTGTACTTGACATATTGAGACATGATTCACAAACCTTGGCTTGCAAAAGTTGACTCAGTATGTTGCTTTTTGGTTTCCTTCTTGTACTACTATTTCCCCCCTACTGACACAAGTGTTGCCTATGGTTTGTTACTACCTTACCACGGGAGCTGATTATGATAAGAACAGAGGACTTGTTCAAGAAATTCTGGAAGAAAGTAGCCAAGCTACATGGTGGTCCTGCTATAGGAAAGAAGTTGGAGATAAAAATGAGAGAAAGGTACATAAAAGAGAGTGGTAATTACAAGAAACATAGCAGCTGTAATTATATTACAAGTAGTATTGTTAGTAGTAGACAAAAAAGGAAGAAACAGAGCCATATTGATCCAGCATTGAAAGTCTCTCTGCTTGAGGATGGATTGAGCACTATAGTACTAGTAGGGTCATCCAATGAAGAAGAAAAGAAACAGAAAAGAAGACAATCTAGAACAAAGTTGTAACTCAATATTTTAGTATTCTTAGTATACTAGGAGTCCAGAATACTAGAAAAGGATTGGGAGTAATGTTCCACCATTAATGAGAATTTAGTGGTGGGAAGACTGTGATATGATGGTAGTACTTAGTAGCAGCAACATCAGTTGGGGTTGGGGTTGACCAAATGATCTAAAAAATGGAAACAACTTGATGCCTGGAAAATATATTCTAATACTGTATTAGGGTAGGAGAGTATTGTTCTTTTCCTGCCCTTGGAGCAAATAGGGGAATTCCTCTCCCCAGAAGTTATGATGGTGGCCATCATAGTGCCTCTCCTCCTACTAATACTGCTAGTAGTGGCAGTTCACAAGGTGGAAAATAAATTCAAGATTTATTGAATGAGTATTGTTCTTCATCAACAACAGACTTCTGAACTGCTAGTATGAACTCAAAGTTTTGAAAAATCAACCAATTCAAGTATCCTTTTAAATATTACTGCATAAAACAGGGTTGTAGGTACTATTAGTGAGGGAAGAGCTATCAGTAACACAAGCACCAACATGACAAATTATTCAAGACAATTAAAATATGAAATATGACTTGATGATAATGTAGCTAAAATATGCACAGAGGGGAATTCAAACTACAAAGGACTTTTTCCCCTACAATTTAAAAACATGGTTTGTTTCGCGGGAGAAAAAAAAACACAAAATAACCCAGCATGAATGGCCCATAATTTAGAGTCATTTGAGTTATAGGAGAACCAAGGATGTGAAGTACAGTATTTAAGTCATTCTTATTGTTAAGTGATAATTCATGGGACACTATTTCAAAACCAAACATGGGTGATTCATTGGTATTTTCAAAACCAAAGAACACTGTTTTTTAGAAGATAAATAAACCAGAAAATCATGACCCCAAATCATAGATATCAAATGGGGGAAGTAAGCACAAGTTGGGGAGGGCCCAGTCAAAATCATGCTTTCAGTCACTCAAATGATGCAACCTAAGGATTCCAACAATCATTTGCTGATGTTTGAACTTCCACTTGAAGCCTGCTTGCTCCTTAATCAAATTAGTCAACGCACAAATACTTTTACTATATTTTACATGTTAATGTACTACACATGCTGAGACTGGAACATGATCACCACCAAAGTCTACACTGACAAATTCCTTCAGTATCTCTAAAGTTCAGAGAATATAGAACCATACATTTCTTACAGATAGTATATCAATCCACCACAATGCATCTTCACATTAAATCTGTCAGCTACTCCTCAAGAGCAAACAACAAACAACAATTGGAAAACTTATTCTCCTAGTAGCTTGGTGATTAGGGTCCATACTTTACCCCTCCTGTTGTACATCCTGCTGTAAGTGACAACCCCAACCCCAATCCTATTTGGTCTTCTTTTCATCAATCCAACTATCCAAAAGTATGGACTTGGCAAGGGTTGAGGCAGTTAATATTGGAGCACTGAAAATAGCTTCCCTGTTTCTTGAGAGGATAGCTAGTATTATTGGTTCCCTACCAAGCCCCATCATTCTTCCATCAACTTTGTGGTTAGAAAGGCAAGATCCTTTAAGTTTTCTTGCACGTCATGCTGTTTCATTATGGTGACAACAGAGACCCTCACAGATTTCTTCCAGTCTTTCTAGTACTAGAATAATAGAATAGTAGTAAACAGAACACTGAACCCATTCTGGTGGTAACCAGAAGGATAACTCACTCTCACTATAAAAGGAGGAGGCCCTGGCATAGGAGACAGGGTGTAATTCAAGAACCAGCAAGGAGGAGGAGGGGACATTGTCATCACCATGAGTAGGAGTGGAGGAGGCAACAATAAGGGTAGTACTACTAAGAGGAGGAGATGGCATGAGAAAGAAAAAATACTAGTACTACTGCTGGTACTACTAGTAGTAAGGATGTAATTCCTCCAGCAGTTTTGGTCTAGTAGTATTAGCAAGAAATGATATCAAAACTGGTGAAGTTTACAACAAGACAAGAAGAATGAGAGTGATATGAGTGTGGATGGGCTTGTCTTCTTGTCTTTTGTTGCTCCTTGGTGGTTCTTCACCATTGCTGTCTTGTTCCTTCTTGTGATGGCTTTATTTGAATTCTCAGCTGGTGCTGGTTGCTTGCTTGTCTCAGTTATTCAGTTATTGTGGTGGTGCTCATTCCGTGATGGTCTGTCCTGTCTTCGGTGGTGGCATCCATGGAAGTATTGAGACACGTGTACATTGAACAAATTTAAATACAAAATACGAAGTACAAGTACTTCAGTAATCCATCGGCTGGTAGTACTCGTACTCGTAAGTAATATCCGTACATGAATCGTACTGTACCTTGCTTGATATTTCCTTGATTGACACTTAACAGTCAACAACACTTCAACACTTCTTTGGATCCTCCTACTAGTTCATATAAGAATTATGAATTACGAATTACGTAGTTGTACGCACTTTGTTTCCGAAAAGATCACTTCACAGATTTTATCAACTTCCGATGGGAATTACTGGAGAAGAATTCTAAAAATTGTGCCCTCAGTACGAACTAGAACGTATTAAGGTCGAACATTATCTCCAAATCTGCATAGCACTAAAAACAGAAAAAGGCCTTGCTTTCCCTGAAACAAAAAAGTATCAAGGTCTCAGGATTGTTCTCAATAATTTCTACGTGCGCTTGAAACCAACATTTCCGTAACCTCCAAATCTGCACAAAACCAAAACACAAATATGCCTTGCTTTCCTTGAAACGAAAACGCATCAAAGTCTCGAAATTGTTCTCCATGATTTCTACGTGCGCTTGACACGACCGAACTCCCAACTGCACAGCTATTTCACAGAAGATTTTATCAACTTCCGGTAGATGTGAGGCCAGACATCACGAGTACCGGTAGATATGAGTAGTGAGTGATCCGTGTCATCTCAGAGTTTCATCACGCGTTACTAAAAGAGAATTCGTTTGATTCCAAAAGGAATCAAGAGACCAACACTTCATGCTCACTTTATTTACTTTCGTTTAATTTAAAGACTTGTAAAGGTGTGTCGTAAAAAAGGATGTTGAAATCTGTACATCGCTGCTCTCGAATAGCACGGTCTAGCTATCAAACAATGCACGCCATCACTACCATCAGGCATTAGCTCACAGCATAAATGTATCTTTGCCCCCATTTCGCTTTTCCTACATACCTGCACAGGAAACAATGCTATTCTTCAACAATTTCTGTTTTTCAATGTGGGCAATCACTGCTCTGGCCACCACAACCACGACGGCTACAGAGATTTCTGATCTTCCGGAGTTTGAAGGAAACATGCTGTCCCTAAAAACCATTCGTCGAAACATCGCCGGGGCAAAAGCAAGCGCTGCACTTTCATGGAAAGGTGGCGTCGAACGCGGTGGCAACTGGCTTTTGGTCGACGTGTCTTCGGCGTCGTCTGGTCTTGCCTCTGCACTGGCCGAAGAGGAAGCATTCGAGATTACTGGTTGCTTAAGTTCTGGTAATGCTTGCAGTGGGTTTCTCAAGATCACTCCGTTTGCCTTAGACGTGGAGCAGAATCCATCTTTTGCGGCCAATGTCGTGCCATCAGTGTGGAAGGCCAACGGCTTTGACTATGCTGGTGACTTCCCGGGAGCTATAGCGCCACTGCAAGTTACTCAAATTCGACAGGCATTTCCAAACTTGACGGGAGAGGGTCTCAAGATTTGTGTCATGTCGGATTCTTTCAACATGCTTGGAGGCTACAAGAACGATACTGAGTCCATGGATCTCCCAAAGGGGATCAAAGTCCTCAAAGAAGCACCAACATTGGATGACGAAGAATTTGATGGTTGGTATTACACCGACGAGGGCAGAGCAATGATGCAACTAATTCACGATATCGCCCCGGGAGCGGACCTCGTGTTCCGAACTGCTGCCGCAGGACTCTATGATTTTGCGAATGGTATCGAAGAACTTGTTGCATACGGGTGCGATATAATTGTTGATGACGTAGGTGAGCTAAAAGACACATTTCACTGGCTGCAGTGTCGATATGAAAACAACCAATGAAATTCCTAATTCAGTCCTTCTTTCTCGATGAATCACGTTTGAAGGTTACCCATCTGAAACAATTTATCAGCATGATGCAATTGCACAAGCTGCGATTCGTGCAGCAAGAGATCACGGTGTGGCTTACTTCACCGGCGCAGGCAACTATCAGGGTCTCGGTTGGAGTAGCGAATTTAGACCCACTGAGATCACTCTGCCGGGACAGAATGATATTTTCATTGTACACGATTTCGGTGACGGAAATTACAAGCAGAGAATAGTAATCTCTGATGAACTTTCTCCAGTTGTTTTTTACTGGGACGCTCCTAGTGGAAACTTCACTGATGATGCTCAACCAACTCCCACGGTTCTTCTTTTGGCTTGGGACGTTGAAGGAAATTTGTTAGGTTACGTTTCTCCAAACGTTGACGGTACAGCAATGATACAATTTGGTTTTTCGAAAGGAACGTACGACATCGCTTTCTTGGTTGGGTTTGTGGGTGGGGTCAGTCCCACACCAAATCTTCTAAAGTGGATCGCTCCTCTTGGAGGACTGCAGGCTATCGATCCACCAAATAATGACTCAGCCTTTAATCCTCATGGAAATTCGCCGCACGTTGCCGCCGTTGGCGCTGCGTCTGAACGCCAGCGAATGTTTAGGATGGAGGTCGAGCCATTCAGTAGCTCAGGCGGTGATCCAATTGTGTTTGATGAAAACGGCGTTCGGCTTGAGCAGCCATTTGTTCCAAAACAGCCTCGATTCGTGGGTCCCGATGTGAGTTTTTCCAATCATATCGACCACATTCTGCTTGTTGCTATATTCTGTTCGTTGTCGCTAACATAATCTTTTGCGTGTGTTGTTGTGGTGGCGATTCGAATATACCTTGAATTTCATGAAAAAAGGGGTACGTATCGTCCAAATTGTGCTACCAAACGAGTCGATGACAGCGGATTGCGTTTCTGTATCGGCCGTATTCATCGGTATTTCCTTTGAACCGTACTCATCGTGCCTCTTCTTCTGTTCCCAGCTCTGAAAATTCCTTTCTTGGTCTTCAAGATACCGGCATGGTTCCTGAAACTGAAGGATTCTTGTTTTATGGGACTTCAGCTGCCGCTCCCAATGTTGCCGCAGTGGCCTTGCTCCTTCTCCAAGCAAATCCCGAGTTGAATCCATCTCAGTTGTACAAAGTTTTGGAAAAAACAGCCATCGATATGAACGAGCCTGGGTTCGACCACACTACCGGTTATGGATTCGTCAATGCGATGAGAGCCGTTGTCATGGCCGAAAAGTTGAAATTGAAAAAGATTACGAACAAGGAGAAGCGCAAAAAAAAGTTGAAGAATCTGAGAAAGAAAAACACACACAAAGTCTGCTACGATTACACCGACGTGGAAATGTGAAACTAGCCGTCCCCGGGATCGATTTCCTGTCCGATCTCCAGGTCGGCGCGTGGGCAATGAATAAGATGTTCGAAGAAAAAACTCTCGATTACAGAGGAGAAATCGCCAACAAAACTTCTTCCGAACACCAAATGCTTTCGTTGCCAACGCTGTTCTCGTTCAAACTATTCAAAATTACTAGGACTACTAACTGGCTAGAGATATTGTTGTCAACACGAATCGAGCGAGCTGTTTTTTTGCGTCTGGCCAGTGGCCCGTCGTGGCCTGTGTTCGTGGTGCGATGCTTCGTTCGTGGCACTGCGTTCTCGGAACGCCGGGAGCAAATCATGCCTCGAGACGGCCAGTGCCACCGCCGGGGTCGGAACGAGGGCAACCCCGACTCCGTGCCGCGTGCCCCCGGGGCAACACCGCAGGTCTCGGACAATTCCGGTGGGGGCTTCGTCTCGGGCTGCACGGGTGGTTTGGTACGGTCTGGTTCCAGAGGCTTTTCCCTCCCTCCCTCCCTCAACCTGCGGCGGTCCGAGGTTCCCGTGGGTTCAGTCGTCCGCGGTTGGATCGGAGCCGAGCCGAGACCGGCCCGGTCGGCACCCGCTTCGATCGGAATCGTGCGTTGGATTGGGTTGCGTTGCGTTGCTTTGCAGTGGACGAGCGCACGGATCTGTCTTCTCGTGCCCTGCAGTCCTCCCTCACACCTCCACCCGCATCGTCTTGGAACCGCGGGGCTTGCGGCAGCCGTCGTCACCGTCGTCGTCACCGTCGCTCTCGTCGTCCCATAGTTCGATGACCTCATTGCCGTTCCGGGTCCGCTTTACGGAACGCACGAGTTTCTCCAATTGCTCTTTCTCGGCGGGAGTGGTTTGTGCCGGCTCCATGGTCCGCCAAAGATCCCACAGCGGAGGTTTTGGCAGTATCCCGACCGCTATCAGACCGGGTGTGGCACAGTAAAAGAGCCGAATCGAGTACAAATAGGCCCCTTTGACACATTCGAGGGAAAGCCTTGCCTCTCGCTTTCTTTCACAACGCCCTTCTCTCGAGCGTATGTTCTTCTTCATTGTCACCCCGGCGTTTTCGTTGGATCGAATCGACGATGCTTCAAAGGGCGCATCGGACTGACAGTCAGAAGGCATGTGATATCCGGACGGAGTTCCTTCGTACACTTTTATTGTGACCTCTCCCATGCCAGCCATCGTAGAACCAATCTGAGAGTCTCCACTCACAAAGGACGCCTTGACAAACTGCAATGCCTTATTCGTATCAATGCCCTTGGAATGATAATAGATACCAAATAATGACGGAGATGTGGAATATTCGGACGGCCAACTTATTCTATACCCAAGTTTTTTGCCATCGACGTACACTTTGCAATACAGACCAGTTGCCACGGTCCGTACCTTCGTGATGCTGATGAAATATTCTACATCAGGCTCCACTTCAACGTAGGCAGTATTGCCTTTTTTGTGTTCCTTGAACGGCGTGTTGTTCTCGTCCTCCGCCGAAACCAGCTGGACTTCGAAGTGGTTTGTTACCACCATTTCCCCGAGTTTTCTGGAGCAGAGCAAAACAGTTTCCGCAACCTTCCGTATCCGGCAGCCTTCACGCCTACTTTCTGTACTTGTACAAGTATTTGTGGAGCGCTGTGCTCTTTGCAACTGTCTCGAAAGAAGTCGTTCGACGAGAGATAACGGGTACGAGTACGAGTACACGTACTCGACATCGGAGAGAGGCTAGTATCGTACGATACTTTCACGTGTTGCTTTGTGATCTTGTGCCTTGCTGCTGATTTCTGTCGTAGAACTGTACAGTACTGAAAGGCTCTCAAGATGGTGACGGGATTTAAGCTCTGTCATTCGTCTGATAACAACGAGGATACGAGTACACCGCGAGGATTTTTTTGGCGCGCTTTTTCGGATACTAAAAGTAACACCTCGTCCTATGATTTTGGTGGCACGTGCTGTACATATCTAAAAGAAAATTCGAGGTGCGCGCGCCGAGGATTTTCTTTTTAGATAGGGACAAGAACGTCCAAATTTCTGTACTGCCATTAGAAATCTTCGTGGTTACAGATTCTCGGGATGTGCAGATTGGATATCCCATCAGAGCCACCAAGGATGAGATCAAGAGTTGCTTTAGCGTAAGACCAACGCGAGGTTACAAATGCATGCATATAACTTTAGTTTAAGGTTTTGGTGAAGATACTTGTGCAGAGGGGACGGGCCCTACCATATTTCTAGATTGCCTATCGCTGTTACTTCAATTTTTCGAGATACTGGCAACTACGCGCAAGAGCAATTCATTCGTTTTCACCTCTGAAGCAACGCCATTCAGTCGTAGACACCACTTAAAAATACAAGTGCCAAGCATTCATGATCTATCGATCCGCCAGGCTTATTCATTTCCAATTGGAAACGTTGGTTGTCAATACCATCCGATTTTTTCTTTTAAAACACAGCCCGTTCGTCGTCTTTTTCGATGTTTCTTCGGTTTTGATTCGACAAATACACCACTTCTACCGGTATATCTCGACGGGTGACAGACAGCCTCGGCCTCTTCAAAAGGTCCGTGGCAATTTTGTGTGCATTCGTGCATACATCGGGGGTTTCCTCGTTGATATCGCGACCACTGCTGCAACAGCCAGGATCGTCTTCGTCTTCGTCTTCCTCTCTGAGTTCTATGATCTCGTTGCCTTTCCGATCGCGCTTTACGGAAAGTACGAGCTTTTCCAGCTCCTTTTTCTCGGCGGGTGTGATTTGTGCCGGGTTAATGGTCCGCTCAAGATCCCACAATGGAGGTTTTGGAAGAACTCCAACAGCAATCAGCCCTGGTGCGGCACAGTAATAGAGCGGTATCGAGTACAGATGAGCCCCTTTGGAAGAGCAAGTACTCGGTCCTGTCCCAACCAATTTTGTTATTTCACGATGCCCCTCTTTTGTACGTATATTTTTCTTGTTTGTCACACTATTACAACAATCCAATGGAATGGACGGTGCTGTTTTGAAGGTCGACGAAGGCTGGACTTCACGGCTTGAACGTTGAATTCCATGATTAATTCTTTCATAGACTTCCATTCTAATCTCCCCCATTGTGGCCATTGCCGCATCTCCACTCACGGAGGACGCCTTGACAAACTGCAATGCTTTATCCGTAGAAACACCCTTAGAGTAGGACCAAATGCCATGCATTTCTGGAGACGAATCAATATGGTGGGCTCCCCAATCCAAGTAATATTCAAGGTCTTTGCCATCGACGTACAGTTTGCAATAGAGACCAGTTGCCGAGGTCCTGAACTTCCGGATGCTGATGAAATATTCGGCATCCGGTTCTGCTTCCACATAGGTATTGGTGCCTTTTCTGTGTTCCTTGAAAGGTGTGTTGTTCTCATCCTCTGCCGAAACAATAAGGACTTCAAGGTCGTTCACGATCACCATGCTTTTGGTGCTTGAGCTACCCGATGGGGTTTCGATTCGTAAAAATTATAATAATCTTTTGTTCGATATTCGATTCTTCAAACAACCGACCCAAGATAGTATCGACGTTTTGTGTTGTGTTGTGTTGTGTTGTGTGTCGTGTGTTGCTTCGAAACCGTCGTGTGTGTCGGCATTGCAACGGAACGAAGGTTTGTGCATTCGTTCGATAGAAAAGAATTGCCCCAACTCCTCGTCGTGCGTTTGTTGAGCCACTCCTTGATGTACTCGGCAAGAGTTCGGTTCGAATCGGTTGGCCTTGTGTTTGTGGTCGTTCGTCGACGAAATCTGGATCCCATGTTCGTTCCCGCAAGATTGATGGAGCAGGCCTGGCTACTGATGCTGGATTCCGAATCCAACACACGGAATGGAACTGGATCGTGCCGAGGGACTGTTTTCGATAATTATTTCTGCCCTCGGTGGTCCAATTCTAATGAGTATTCAATGGTGCTCGTACTTCCACGTTCCTGTTGTTGGAAATGCGGAGATGTTGAGAACAATCATGCAACTGATAAGGGTGAGTCTTTTCGTTTCTATCACCGCCACTGAACCTTATGGTACGGTACGGTACGGAACGGAACGAGGCGAGACGGATGCAGAGAGCCGTGATGTTGCGTTGGGTGCCGAGTTGAGGAGTGCCGATCGTGATGTCTAAATCGAGATGATTTTTTCTGAATTTCAAGTTCCAGGTTTTATTCTCAAACCGGCAAGTTCAGAACTCAAATCATGGCGCATACCGTACTGTTACACATACTTCGTACCGTAGGTTGTAGGGTACGAAGTATGAACTACGATCAGTACGTACTACGTACGATAACCGAAGTCTGCCCAAACTCGCAACATGCACCATTACGAAGCGCATCCTTTTTCCGATGAGTCAAACGTGTCGTACGGTACGGTAGGCTTCCTTCCAAGGCTGGTACGATCATTCCTCGCTCCACACAAGCACGTGCCCTTGGAGGGATTGCCGATGGTCACGCGCCATTTTTTCCTAGTCAGACACGTGACATATATAAGCCAAAGTCCGTAATCGTATGATTTTAGGTTCAAGTTGAAGGGGATGCCCCGGTCCGAAAAAGGAATTCGAATGGTATGTCAACTTGCCATAGGGTGCATACTCGGAGTGCGCGCATGAAATGCCCCGCCATTCGAAGGACAATGCTCGGAGAGACAAAAACGCGACTACGATTAGGACCACATGCCCTTCCCCGAAACTGTTTCCAAACGGCTTTTCGAGTGAGTGAGTCAACGCCAAGCGGAGTCGAAATTTTGCGTTCATTGGAACCGCGAGAAAGGACGGAACATGTGAAATAAAAACATGGCAAATGATTTTGCGGCTCGCGAATTTCATGTGTTTTTGTAAAATACCCTCAAGTATTTCGCGATTCCCAAGAACATTCGTGTGCCACCGCTCCGGTGAGTTTATGGGACTGGGAACGCTCGTTGCACATACCGCACAGCCCCAAACGCTCCGCACCCCACGCACGGAGACATACAGAACCAGCATCGCTGTGTTGTGGGACCAATCGCAACCCACAGTGCCAAGCGAAGCGAAGCCCTTGGCGTTGTTGTTCCACCGAGGAACCAGACCCACCCGCGACAGCGCTTGCCACACGGTAGGCCCTCCGAACACCGCGTCATGCAGGAGTTTGACGAGATGCACATCAGCCGGAGGGATCCCGGCACACCGACAAAGTTCAAGCGGATGCCGGTGAAAATGACCGTCGACAGGTCCAGGGCGATGAAGGCCCACCAGGTTGGTGCCGTTGCCGGCGGCCGGGTGAGCGGATCCTTCGTGTCCTCCTCCTCCTCCTCCCTGTCCTCCTCTCTGGGAAGGGCGGCGCTGCAGACCCTCACCGGGAGCAACTGCAGCCAGAGCAGCAGCGACACGAGGACCTCCCGGTTCAACAACCGACCGATCTACGGGAGTCCCATGGTGGCGGCGAGAGACTGTTTCGAGCGGGCCGGAGGGTCCCGCAGTGTCAGCGGCAACGGAAGCGAGGGAACCGCGGAGACCTCCGTCCGAGACGACCTGGAAGCCAAGGCCGAGGCCGTTGCGGCCATGTTTGGGACCGGAAGCCCGCAGGATCCTACCGGCAGCGTAGGGACAAGGGACGATGGACCAAGCGATAGCAATGGAAATGGCAATGGCAACGGCGACGACAAGAACGACAACGGCAACGGCAACCACCGCAAGGGATCGGCCATGAAGCGACTCCAGGCCAGTGCGACGAGCCGGATAGAAAGTGCGAAAGACATACTGGAGCGCCGCCTGAAAAAAATCGATTCGCAGTTCTTCAGGGAGAACCCGACCCACAAGGTTCCGAGATTTGTTCCAAACGGTGCGTGGCTGTGTATATCGAAGATATTGGGATTGATTTGTGTGTCGATGCGGCTGCCATTCTCGGATTTTGGTTGCGTGCGATTTTTTACCCGGAAGGTGCTCTCTTGTAGTACCAACACTCTCACCTCGTTCCAAACCCTTTTGTTCCGGGCTGCACGATTGCGGAAACACCAACTTTTGCCACGCGTGACTTGAATTTGAACGGTACAGAACTCTCACTGGGGGATCAACTCGGAGAAGGTGAATTTGGTTCGGTCTACGAAATCGAATCCCTCGAGCGACAAGCACCACGAGTAAGCCTCACCGACGACGGGTTTGCGATTATTCTCGAGGAGGAAATCGGCGACGACCAGGAGTGCGGGAAAGGGAATGACCAAGATGTGGACTGCGATCCCACACAAAACCAGAGACTATCCAGTGGTTCCTCGCACGGACCCGCGACCGCCTCCCTGACGGTACCGATTCCCACCGATTTGATTGTGGACAAGGGCAACCTCGATGGCTATCTTTTGAGACGGATCGAATTGCTCCAGGACCAAGAAAACGACAATGTAACCCCAACCATTTTAGAGAAAAACATACAGCCCTCCAACAAACCCCAGGTTTACGACAACAACGAGCTCAACGAATACTGTAACCAGCATCTGATAAACGACAACGGAAGCAGCGAAGAGGACGATGGGAGCGAAAGCCTCCACTGTCCCGCTCGGCGAAGGCCCGCGATCAAGCTCAAGGACAAAAAGGGCCAGATGATCAAACGTCAGAACAACAACAACGCCACCAATAACTTTGAAGGATACGCCGTCAAGGTTGTTCGAGACGACATTGCTACCGAACGAAAGAAACGTGTTGCGGCCGCCGACATGGCAACCGAAGCCAAGATATTGTCGGCGCTCTCGCATCCCAACATTATGAGAATCCGAGGAATCATGGGGTACATCGAACGGCCCGGGAACTACGGAATCATCATGGACAAACTGCGGTCGACGCTGCAAGACCAAGTCAAAACATGGGCCAGAGTCACCTCGGAGGACAAGGTCCCGCGGGCGGCTCCAGAAAAGCAACCCTTCTTGGAGCACGTTCCGAAATGGATGCTCCTCCGGCCGGAATCCAGGGAAAAACAGACGCAGCTCTTTCGACAGATGGAGTTTTTCACCGAGCGCATGGAAGCCGTGTCCGACGTGGCGCAGGCCCTGAAATATCTCCACGAGAAAAAGATTGTCTTTCGCGATTTGAAAACCGAAAACGTCGGCCTCACCGCCGAGGACAAGTATGTCCTCTTTGATTTCGGTTTGGCGCGCTATCTCACGGACGACGACCGGGTCGAAGGCAAGGAAGACCAGTACCATGCCACCGGATTGACCGGAAGCCGGCTATTCATGGCGCCGGAGGTGGCACTGTGCAAGCCTTACGGCTTTTCCGCCGATGTCTTTTCCTTTGCCATTTTGTTTTGGGAGGTCATGTCACTGAAAGAGGTCTTTCCGAAGATGACGATGAACAAGCATTTCCATCTGGTCATGGTCAAGGGTCGACGACCTTCCACGATGGAGCACATTTTGCCCAGCGAGCTGAACCAGATGATGGTGGACTCCTGGGATGCCAATCCTCTCGAACGGCCCACTTTTGAATCCATTTGCGATATTCTAGCCCACGAAATCGAAAAGTACCACAGTGGTTCTCGCAACGACGGTTCTTCGTTTCGACTGCAATCCCTGATGTTCAGCCGGCACGAAGAAGCCAACGCCGCAGAAGACGACGACGAAGGAATCTTGTCTGCAAAGGAATTCAGCAAGTTCGACGGATACGACGATTACGGCGAGTTCAACGAGGACGACTCCGGCGACGAGGATTCGAACATATCACACCACACGAGAAAACCAAAATTTTCTATCTCCAGGACACTGCATTTGGCGCAGGTCGAGGATGCCTTTGAGAAAGTAAAAGAAACCTTTGACCACAAGCTTCTGAGCAACCTTGGTTCCCCCAGCGACTCGTGCTCGTCCTCTAGAAAGAATGCCGTCGACCAAAAATCATCTGCGAACCATCGAAAGACAACACTGTTTTAACAGCAAAAAGAACAAGAAACTTCGGCATGGTGTTCTTCCTCGACACTTCACTCGCTAATTTACTCATTCACTCGAACAGCCATATAGAAAGCCACGAATTACCAATCATACACCAAGAACGACGATGTGAGGATTGTACGATTCTCGAACTTTGTCAATTTTAGAAGTCTTAACAAATAAATATATGAATAACAACTCATTCTGTTTTAGTACTAGCAGCAAGCGCCTCTACGTCACGGAATACAGTCCTTCGTCAGATGGGATGCCCATGGCGGAAGATCCACCTCCAGCTCGATCCTGTGGAAGGTTTCCTCCCCGCCGTCGTTGTTCTCTTTGGTGTTCCCCGTTTCGCCATCCACCCTTCCGGTGTTTCCGGATCCTTTTCCAAAGGAGAGAGCATACCGGTGGGCATGCAGGCAGATCGCGTGGCCACCCTGCAAGAGTTGGGCGGGGCTAAAGGTCCCGGACGGTCCCCTGCCCCCTGTGTGTGTGTCGGTGGTTGGACATACGTCTCTGGCCGCCTTGGATTGCTCGTCTGTAACACCCAGAGACGTTCGCACTGGAGCAGGAGCACCAGCCCCGGGAGAGGTATCTTCTCGGAGGTTGTCCAGCACACGGTGGATGCCCGCCGAGGGATCGAGCCGAGAAATCAACGAGGCAGCGGAACCAGGGCTTGTACCACCACCGTACTGGACATCGTCCACAATGGAGTGACCGAGCCATTGGAGGTGGACCCTCAGCTGGTGGCTCCGGCCCGTCACGGGGACGCATGCCAGGATCGATGTGTTGCTTTCAGAATCATATTCCAACAACCTGAACTGGCTCGTCGATGCCTTCCCGGTAGAGGCAATCCTACGGATTCCGTTGAGGGGATCGACTGTTTCGATGGGTGCATCGACCTGCAGGAAGTCCCCGGATTTACTGCTCCCCCCGGAGGTGGGTTGGTTCCCTCCAATCCATTTCCATCGGGCGAGCTCGCCGGGAGAAACCGACGCAGGCAAATTATCGTCCTCGGTGTTGTTTGCGGGAAACCTCCCCCCAACCCTGGCCAGGTACTCTTTTTGGACCCGCGAGCGGCCGCTTATGGTGGTCTGTACAACACGGGCCACCCTCGGATCGGCGCAGCAAATGGTCACCCCGCTGGTGGCCCGGTCTATTCTGTGGCAAGGGATGAGCGTTTTGGGAGGTAGTCCCTCCTGTGCCTCCACTAGCAGTGTCAGTGAATTCGACAGGTACGGACCCGCCGGGTGGACGGGAACCGTCGACGGCTTGTTGCAGACATAAATGTGGCGATCGAATTCGGACACCCCGTAATCGCTCGTGGAAGCAGTTTTTGACATGCCGCTGGATGGGGGGAAACACTCCATCGGAATAGGAATCTTTCGAACCTCTATGGATTCCGTCGGGAGATGGATCGGTGGCTCGTGCCAGTAGACGATTCGGTCGATGACGTCCATGTTTTTGAGTTTGTAGGAATTTGCCTCGTCCATGTTTCGGATCGGGTTGCCGTTGACGCGAATCAATCCCTTTTCAAACAAGGTTCGAAGTATGGCATCGAGCTGGGACTCGCGGTCGCTTTCAGTAATGGATGTCGACGGCTGCTGCTGAAAGGAGTTTGGAAATTCTGTTTGCAACACCTTCAGCAGCGCTTTTCCGCACCATTTCCCTTTCGTATTGGTCTCCAAGACGCGAACACAAGGTTTTGGAACCCTCAACCCGGTAGCGGGATCACGCCCGGCCTTTGGCCCTAGCGTCAAGCCTAACGAGATCCAATCCTCGACCTGCTTTTGTTTTTGCAATTCTTTCCGTTCCTTCAATTTTTCGTTGTGGCGATTGGTTTTGGCACAGGAACGCTTTGCCGTTGGATTCTGCGGAGGAGAAGTATGTGGAAGCTGCGTTGCCCCGTTATCCCGCTCTTCGAGTATGCGCTTGCGTTTCAGCCCATGGAATCCCCAGCACTTTCCGGAACAACCGACCTGCCCACAGTTTCGGCACTTGAGTTCAAGTTCGATGCCACCGCTATCCCCACCATTGGCGTGCTCTCCGTCCATTTGTTCGGCTAGCTTGGCACGGACCCTGGAACACTGCTTCGCCAGGGTCTTTCGGCGCTGCTTGAACTTTTTTCCGACCGCAATTTCCTGGATGAGTGTTTCGAGTTGTTCGAGTTGCTCGGACAGCTCGGCCGGAGAGAAACCCTCCAGGTTGGTGAAGTAGCATTCTTCGAGGTGGCGGTGGGCCTCGCAGTGGTATTCGCGGCGGCGGCGAAGCTCGTGCTGGGGTTGCTGCAGCTGCGAAGCCGTTGCAGCTGCCGCATCGCAACCCTCACCGCTTCCGTTGCTGCTTTCTCCGGCGTTGCCAGCACGGTTGGCGGAGCAGGCCTGGCACGATTTGCACACCAAGATCGGTTCCTTGCACACAGTGCAAACGCAATGCGGATCGAAGGAGTCATAGGGAGACTTGCAATACCGGCAGGTTCCGACGGTGGTGCTAGCCGACGCAGCGGGATTGCTCTGTTTGCCATTCTTTGAGGTACCATCGGAGGCGGGTCCGTGGGCACCGCGTCCGTCAAAGACGAAATTCTTTCCCCTCCACAGAGAAGAGGACGAGGACGAGGACGACACTCCCTCTTCCGCCGTAGACGATTCTGTATATGTTGGGTTGTCGCTTCCAAATTCCTCTAGGTACTTATGGATTCCTCCTTGTAGGTGCCTCACCTCCTTGACTGCCGTTCCCATGGCGTGGCGGACGTAGGCCGAGGCCTTTTCGCACCGGATACCTCCGGTGCAGTACATCAGGACGCTCTTGTTTCGCAGCTTGTGCTTGTGCTCATCGACCCACTTGGGAAATTGGTTGAAGGTGGTAGTTTGCGGGTCGATCGAACCGGCAAAATTTCCAATGGCGTACTCCTTGGTGTTCCGGCAATCGATGAGAATCGTGTCGTTGCTGTTGTCGCTTTGGTCGACATTATCGCTGCCGTTCTTCGATTCCCTTTTGGTTGCGTTCAGCCTGGCGATTCGCTCGTGCCATTCTCTGGGTGTCAGGTAGCCCTCGTGAAGTTGGTCGATATGGATGGAAGACAAGACCCCACCGGTTCCGATCAATTCTTTGACTATTTTGATGTTCAAATCCGGAAACAACTGTTGTTGTTCTTGGTGTTCCCCCGGTTTTGTTTCGTCCACCTTGCTCCACTTGAATTCCGATTCCTTCATCTGGAGGGGGGGACAACCCGCAGCGCGATAGAATTCTCGGCAATCGCTTTGAAATCTCGCCAGGGCTGTTGTTTGTGCACTTTTCGACGGGTGGGCTGGTTCTGCGGGGTTGTTCGTTCCAATGCTGTTGTCCCTATCGCTATCGGTTTCGGTAAAGGCCCGGACAAAGACCTCAAGGTTTGGACGGGTTCCGCTCAGGGTTCCGTTGATCCCCTCCGATCTGTGCTCGGAGCAACCCACCAGGATCCGCCCTTTCAGATTCAGGGAAGCGCAGAACCGCTCCAGTGCCCCTCGGTACATGTCGACAATGGAACGATTGTCGCTGAGAGGGTGGTACTTGTAGAACAGGATGATTCCCCCGCTCGCTCTTGTTGCTGCACCTGCGGGGGCAGAGGGAAGAGCAACAGCCATCGTTTCGAAAGGATTGATACTACTGTATTATTGGATGAGAAGTGGTGCAAGGACGATCTTTCTTGTTCACTGGGCCCCGACCAAGTAAACCGAATGTTCTTTTGAGAACGGATTTCACATCTTTCATGCCTACTCGTACGGTACGAATTACTCGTACTGTTGTACTTCTGTGATGCCCAATAGTGAAAATACGAACCTCAATCACGAGCTTACTCGTAACTCCGAATGGCACCCATTCGGATGGCCGAGAGAGCATTATCTTGCTAAATTTAGGGGCAGCATTTTAGGGACCCTTCAATATCCACGACTCAGAATGCACGTCTCGAAATGCAGACCACTGACGGTGTTGGGAAACGCACGTTTCTGAATCAGTAAGCCCATCAGACACACATCATTCGTGGTTTGGCAAAATACCGTAGAACCCAAGGGTACGAACTCACAGTGAACAGCACTGATGCGATGGTGACTACGAGTATGTACGAACGCACAGTACTAGAAATAGAGTGGTCTGCACATATGAAGTAAAATTTCCCGAGTTGCATTCCTACCTGACAAGTACGGGTACGAGTATGCCAAATATCATTGCACCTTGTCCATCTTCAATCTTTTGATGAGTTTGTGTCGTCCTTGATTCCACGATTTCTGTTTTGCAAGGTAAGAATCAATAACGTCCGACGTATCATTTCACGACGTCGGCCCGCTTACACCAGTCACCATCTGCCAGGAGTCAATCGCAACCGAAGACAGTCTCAACTCACAACGCACTACGATACAAACACACAACGATGATTTTCGGTAGAACTGCTATGATCTTTCTCTGCTCCGTGGCTGCGCTGCGCAACACTGCCACGAGAACTTCCGTTTCCGCCTTCTCGTCGTCGTCTTCCCCCGTCGCTCGCAGATCGATTGCCAGCAACCAGCAATTGAAGGTCTCCTTTCTAGAAGACCTCACCAGAGGGTTCTCGAACATGGCCGGGTCCGGTTCAAAGTCCAAGTACTACACCGTCGGTATCACCGGGGCTAGCGGATTGATCGGAACCGCCTTCCAGAACGAACTGCAGGCCGCCGGCACGGTCAACGGGAAACCCGTGCGTGTCGTCACCTTCCAAAGAGGAAACGAGGCCGAAGCCGTCGACGAAGAAGCCCTCAGCGACGACAGCTTCACGTCCACGAAATCCATCACCTGGAATCCCTCCGGCAACGAGGCCTCGGTCGATTCCAGCGTTCTCCAGAGCCTCGATGCCCTCGTGCACCTCAGCGGAGAAAACATCTCGACCGGGGAGGGCCTCCTCGCCCCCCTCGGAATCCGGCCCTGGACCGATTCCAAGAAGGAGGAAATCATTAACTCCCGCACCACTACCACCTCGGCCCTGGCCGGCGCCATTGCCGCGTCCGGAAACAAGAACTGCGATTTTTTGGTCGCCAGCGGCGTCGGCGTCTACGGGCCCGACTTTGTAGGCCCGAACGCCGCCCCCGCCGCCGACGAGTCGGCCGATGTGTCGTCGACCGGAGGCTTTCTGGCCGAGGTCTCCCGCGTATGGGAGGCTTCCACCAAGAGCGCCCAGGCCGCCGGAAACCGGGTCGTCCAGATGCGAAACGGGGTGGCCCTCTCCACCAAGGGCGGCGCTTTGGCCAAGCTGTACCCGATTTTCTTCCTCGGTGGGGGTGGCGTCGTCGGCGGTGGCGACCAATACTTTCCGTTTGTCTCAAACCGCGACATGGCCCGGGCCATGGTCCACCTCCTGGAAACCCCTTCGATCAAGGGCCCGGTCAACATGTGCGCCCCCGAGCCGGCCACCAATGCCGACTTCACGGACGCCATGGGAACCGTCCTGAAGCGGCCGACGCTGCTCCCTTTCCCGGGATTCGCCGTCTCGCTGCTCTTCGGGGAAATGGGGGAAGAGGTTCTGCTGGGGGGAACCCGTGCAGCCCCAAAGAAACTTCTGGACAGCGGCTTCCAATTCCTCCACCCCACCGTGGAGGACGCGGTCCGGTCGGCCGTCGACGAGGAAAGCCAGATCTAAACCACTGGCCTTCATCGCAACATACCACTCCTTCACCGAGCGAAGGAAGAAACAAATGGGTGTTTGGCGTTTGTAGCGAATAAGATTTGTGTAACTACTCACTGTAACTACTCAACTACACCAAAAATACTCTTGGGAGGCAATATTGTTTTTTAAATGATTGTTGTCTTTCCCAGGAAGCAAATTCTATGCCAGAGGTATTTTCTAGTCGTGTCGTAGGATAAAAATTATGAATCATGCATGAAATATGCGATGGCTGGTGCATGGATCGCGTGTCACCGAATTTATGTTGGAAATGAAGATTTTCGCCCACAATGGCGGTATTTGGTTGGGCCTTTTCTTTATTCAAAAGTATCCGGAAAACATTGCTGCTTCCGCAGTTGTTCTATCTGCTCTTGGTATTGACCCTCGGAGGAATGAAACAATGAAGTGCTGCACGACGACCTTGTGTGAGGAATGGATTGAGTTACGCTTACATTCATCAGTGGCGACGAAAGGAGACTATTTTCTTCAAAAACTTCTTTGCTCTCCGTCCAAGACGACGAAAATGATGGAAACAATTGAGATTGTTTCCCAAAGCTTTCTTCCGTTCTACCCCATCGGGATCTTTTTTATTTTCCATTGTCATCTCTATCTGGCATTGGTAGTGCCCTCCTTCGATTGAACGACGTGGAGAAAAGTAGGAGGATGAGGTAGAAGGAAGGCTTGTAGGGAAAGCAATCACTCCGAGTTTCTTTCGTTTCCGCACACATGATTCATTGAATGTTAGGCCTTTCAAAAAATCTGGCAAAGAATCGTCGTCGCCTTTGTCGTCGTCGTTGTCGCCAGCTCTACAATTGTGAGCGATGCTCTTTCGCGGTGTCCGAGAGCAAGTTTTGGAGTTATTCTTTCGGTTTCTGTGATCGTAACGGTGCCAATTGGTTTTGCCGGTGGTGCCTCCTCCTGCCGATGGGTTTGTGGAAGGACAAGTGCTAGCCGTGTCGAAATCACGAGAGAGGTTGTTGGTGATTCCTCCAAGATCGTCCTGTTCCCTCGTTCGATTATTCCGGATTTCCCGGGCCGCACCGGAAGAGAGCGGGCTGCGCCTCCGACGAAAGACGGCGCCTGCATTGGTGGTGGTGTCGTCAAGCAAACCAATTGCTTGCGGATCCCACCGCATTTGTTGGCAATGCATGTCGCCGCACACATACTGGGAGCTCCGAAAGGAGAAGTCGTACGCCGAAAACACAACGGCCTCGATGAGATGGTTGTGGTGATGGCGATCCGTTGAGCACTTCTCCTCGTCGTCGCTTCTTGGATTGTAGGCAGAATTCATGGCGCTTCTTTGCCGTTTTCTCTTGTTTGGATAGCTGGCGACGAAGCTGCTTGTGATGTTGTTCGTGTTGTCTCTAATAGATGTTATCTTTCTGTGTTCGATAACAATCATCCTGCAGCAAATGGGTTCTACGCGGGCTGATCTGAGGTTAGCAATGCTTTGTTTGTTTGTGTTCCTTTGAACTTGTTTGTTCTCTTCTAAACCTTTCATCCTTGGTGTGATTGACTGCAGGATGTCGTGAGAGAATACACATCTATGAATCTTGCACAAACGAAGACATCAAAAGAATTCCACGAATTGAAATCGCCGTATGAAAACCTTCGCATGGGCGTGCTTGCTTGCACGAAATCGCGAGAATCGCGAGAAAACCTCGGCAGCGACCATGCCTCCTAGTAGTACGGAACGGTACGGGAGTACGTACCGGGGATCCTTACGCACGCAAGGTTTAGAATTAGAACTTGGACTTCGTTGAAGAGCATGCCTGCGTTGTCGCCGAAGAAATCGACGTTCACGACTAAACCACGAATCACCGGTCGGAAACAGACGATAAACTGTGTCTCAAACTGCGACACGGGTGTGGACGACGGACCCGAATACGGTGTTGTTGCAATGCAGTGAGGAACGGTGTACTGTACAATACTAGTAATACAGGAACAACCTAGAGGTCTAAATATCATTTATTTTCATGGTTCCAATATTCCAATACTAATAGAAATGGAATAGAACGAAACGCATTTCTTCGCGAACCAAACCACACGACTGTGCGTTTCCCCCCCAGAAATGTGTATTTCCTTTGTCACCGTTTACCGGTTGTACCAGTCGATGGGCGTCTTGTCCATTTCGATAAGCGCCTCGTTGACCCTGGAAAAGCATCGGGAGGTCAAGAACGGAGAGGCCGTCTTGGTGGCCCCCAGCGGAGAGGGGTGGCTCGTGGCAATGACAACGTGCCTGGCATCGGAATCGACGATCGATTTGGCCTTTTTCGCGGCGGGTCCACCCCACAGCAAAAACACAATGCCGCCGCGCTTGTCTCCGTCGTTGTTGTCGTCGTCGTCGCATTCTTTGTTGTGATTCTTGCTGTCCTCGTTCGCACGGTCCCGCAAAATGCAGACAATTTCATCGGTAAAGTCCTCCCAGCCCTTTCGCTGGTGGCTATTGGCCTGGCCCCGGCGGACCGTCAGTACGGTGTTGAGCATCAGGACGCCCTGTCTGGCCCATCCCTCTAGATCTCCGTGCTGTATCACGGGGGGACGTCGACCGCCACCCAGGCCGCTCCCGACGTCGTCGTCGAGTTCCCTGAAAATGTTGCGCAGCGAGGGCGGGATCTTGGAAATACTCTTAGAGACGGAGAAGGCTAGGCCCGTAGATTGGTTGGGCCCGTGGTAGGGATCCTGACCAAGGATCACGACCTTGACCTTATCGAGGGGGCATAGGTTGAGGGCCGCAAAAATCTGGTGGCGGGGGGGATAGATCTGGTGTTCTCCGTGGGTAGCGTATTCCTCCTCTAGGAACTTCTTGAGGCCCTCGAAGGACCTGGACGAGGCTGCGTACGGTTCCAGAGCTTGCTTCCATCCCGGCTCGTGCAATCCGTCGAGAAGGTTCCAAACCGCGATACCCTTGTTGTCCTCGTCGGGAATCACAGCAGCTTCGTTTGTTCCGACATCGATTCCGTCTTTCCGGATGATGGTCCAGCGATCCTCCTTTTCGTTTCCAAAATTCTTGGCAGTCGCCGAGGCTCCGAGAGATTTTTCCTGCTGTTGCTGCTCCCGCTCTTCCCGAAGGTTTCGGGCCACAAAAAGCTGGTCATTTGTGTACCATATTGTCCGGCCATGTGGCCCATTGGTTTCTCGAACAACGGGGCTGCCTCTGGGGCACTTAAGTTGACCATAGACCCTCAGCTGGAAGTCAAATGGCTCGAGGGACCGGACCGACGTGTACGGCTCGCTTGTTGCTTGTGTTCGCTGGGATTGCTGCTGTGACACATAGGACTCGTAACACACAGCCTTCGCTTGCTGAAAGAGCTTGATCCGTTGCGAGGTCGACAGCTCGTCGATTCCGCAAAAGGGATCGATGCTCGCCCGGTACAGCGCCTCGCTCAGGATGTAGTTCCCGATCCCGGAAATCTTTTTCTGGTCCATGAGGAACCTGCAAACGTTGAGTCGTGGATTGCGCTGTCGTTCGAGGAGGGAAAGAAACTCCTGGGTCGCTTTCGCGTCGGATGACCGGGCCTCGAGCTCGTCGTCAATGGTGACGGAGGCATCGTCCACATCGTCGATCCTGGCGCGCTCCCGAGCCAGGGCCAGAACGTCGGGCCCGAGCGAGGCGAGTTTTTCGTCCAGCTCTTGCTTCGACAAGCAAAACCGGACGGTCCCAAAGTTTCGCTTGTCATGGTAGAATATCCTGTGCTGCTCGGGATTCTGTCGATGAGTTTCCTTCTTTTGGTTGCAACGATCGTCGTCCACCAGCTCCAATACCCACCGCCCGTAACTCGGATCCTCCAAGTGCTTTTGTTCGCTGACGAAACGCCCCGTCATCCCGAGCGTGATCCAGATGCTCCGTTGAAAATCGTCGTCGTCGTCCTCATTACGGGCATCGTCGTCTCTTTTCCTGTTGGTAACACATCCATCGTCGAGGAGCATGTAAATGAATTTCCCCTTGCAATTGATGTCACGGATCACGTCGATGGTGGTTCTTCTATTGGTTTTGCTGCCGTCATCGCTTTCTCTGGCAAGCGGCGTCATGGTCCCGGCAAAGTCGGAGAATCCCTTCGGACGTTGCTGGAGATATCGACCCGACAAAAACTTGATGTCCACAAGCCGTTTCCCGATCCCACCCTGCAGCTGGTCGACGAGGGTTCTGACCTCGGGGCCCTCCGGCATCATGCACAGCGATGATGCCCCCGAGTAGCAGCGATGTCTGTTGGGGTTGCCATCTCGCGTGTGAAACGGTGGGAGCATCCTCGGTCTCAGCTTCAGCCGCATCGTATCGCCACGAAAGGAGGAGGATGATCCCGACGAAGTCAAAGACCGTGGCGATGGGGACACCGACCTTCCCGTGGCGGTGCAACATCGGAACGAAAAGGACCAAACGACCCTCGCGTTCCCAAGCATCACCGTAGCAAGCGTAGCCATGGCAATCCCCACCGCCACACAACACCCCCTCTGTCGTCGTTGCTTCACTCCTTCTACTCCTCGGTGCGGATTGTGTCGACGTCGAAGCCCACTTCCCATTCCTTAAACTCCGTGCTATCGGCGAATACAACAGTATGTGTGGATCCTATTTTAATGATTATAAGGGAGGGGAGAATCGCTTCTGTTGCTTTCTGTCAATCGAGATTCCTTGACCCAGTTCGAGTGCTCGAAACAATTGGTGCCTTATGATTCAATCAACTGTAACATCTCTACCATGCTGGAGGATCTGTTCATGGAGCAACAGGATGTAAGATATGTGTCAGATTGTTTTTCCCATGAAAAATACTTGGCATATTTCCTCACGATGGAGGCATTTCGGAACACATACAGTATGGTACGTAGAAAGTACGTTAGATGATGTTCATACCCAGACAGGTACGTTCATACCCAGATCGGTATGTTCATACCCATACAGGTACGTTCATACCCA